CTTATTTTGAGCGTAAAAGTAGGTAGCATTTTTAATTTCCATAAGTTTCACAAGCAGGAGCAAACATTAAGAAAGCCATTTTAAGCACACGTAATTGAGATTCGAATGGCAAGTGTTTAATTACAGGTACACAATTACATGACGTTGTAATTAGATACCTGCAATTAGACACCTACCTCATTCGCACGGCTCATTCACACGTCGATTACATGATTAATAGGCGCGCGGAGAACCAATCAGAACGGAGAATGTTGTTAGACGTACGATTTACAATGTAATATAGACAGTGCAGTTGACAGACGACAACGCATGTTTAAACCCAAGGGTGTCTGTATAAACAGGATTGTTTACACTGTGTAACAATTAAGAAAGTCCTTAATGAAATGCGGTTGTAATTCAAATTCAGCGAATGTCAATCTAGGAATAATTCAGTTTGAGAAGGCGAAAGGCAATTCAAAATAGCTATTGCTAGCTCGTTTCTTGAGTTTAAGCTCAGATCTGATTAGGGACTGAATATCGAAAACCTTGTTGTTTACCGTGCATCGAGGATATTAAAAAAACATGTATATTCACAGCCTCCTTCAAAGCTGTCTAAGCCAATTAAAACTGGCAAAACATTACCATAACAAAATGTACAGAACGACTAAATTTAATTTGGTGACGCAAGACAGAGTTTTAAATAATGCAAAGTGCGCGACTACAATTACATCTGTTCAGTTGCCGGTTGAGGTGTACTTGAAACTTAGCGATTCAAAGTGAATTATCTCAGACCTGGCGTCGGTTTTCGAGTGATACTTTAAAATTTCGCTGCCATGGGAAAAACGGAGTCTTGGTTTTGGTATTTTGCGTGGTTTATTACCGCCGTAGCAGTTGTTGGAAATGCCCTGGTAATCTTCTTGATAACAACGAAACATCACCTCCAAAAGAAACCAAACTGGTTTATTTTGTCGCTTGCAATTGCCGATCTTTTTGTTGGGTTCACGTTCATACCTCCTTTTTACGCGTGCTGGAAATGGTTTCCTTGTAGCAAAGACGTTTGGTTTGTGCGTCAAACAATCAAGTGGACCTTTCTTTACGTGTCTGTAAGCAACCTTTTTACTTTGACTTTGGATCGTTACATCGCCCTGACCTCACCACTGAGACATAAATGGCTTGTGACACCAACGCGTATTGCCCTTTCGGTCATTACCGCTTGGATTGTACCGGTAATAAGTCGAGTGTGCATCTTTGCTCCGGTGCATTTCAGTAGCGAAGCAACGGCCTCCAAATATCTTGTCCCGGTTTTTCTGGTGATGTTTGAGTTGGTTCCATGCATTCTACTTTCTTGCTTCACATTTCACATGGTGTATATTGTTCGAAAAAGACGACAGTCATCTAGAACTATTGAAGATTCGTCTAGAGAACTAAGATCACTAAATTTACGAATCCATATCCGAGACGATGGACGCGCAAACTACAACATCAGAATTGTAGTGTCTGTTGTGGGATTGTTCATTCTGTGTTATTCACTGGACATATACATCTGTTTTTGTGATATTTTCAGTTTGTCTAAAATATCCCGGCAGTTATGGTATGTTCGGCATCTTTTATTGGTCACAAATTCTGCCCTGAACCCAATAGCTTATGCTTTACTTAAGAGAGACATTAGACAAGCGATTTTAGCACTTGGACGGGTCCACTCAAACACTAGAGTTACCCCTTCTACTGAAAACAGAGAGCTACATTTTATTTAATTAAGGTTTTGACAGTTTTCTGTTCTGCGTTGGGTAGTAGGGTTCTTCAAAAATTGCTACACTCTTTTTCTTGTTTCTATGAAAATATTCTTTTTCCTGCCGAGGCTGAAAATTCTTATTTCTCTGCTGATTTTAGGCTGAAAATAATCTTGTGAATATTCCTCGATTATGGCGTATGGCATTTCTATCTTCGAATGCATTGGTGGCTGAATGCTGTTAAAGTAATTTTGGAGCCAGCCTGCAGGCATCGAAGTCTGATATGATGTACAGAACTTCTTGCAGAAATGTTATTACATGTAGAATCGAACATACGGCTAATGCTGTTTTTGTTGGTTTTTGGCTAGTTTTGCCGTTTAGAGAAAGGAAGAATTTTAAACAGTTTCGTAAAAAAGATATTATTGTACTTGTATTTACAACTTTTCAACACACAAAATTATATTCTTTTCAAAGTCTCAGCCTCGGGTTTATTCTTAAAACATTTTCAAAATTTCGTAAATTTCAGCCTCGATATTCTCATATAACATATTCTTATAAGAAAGAAACGTCCCCCTAAGCTATAATTGCTTGCCTAGAACACACCCTCAGAAGACAGATGACAGAAATCATCGCAAAGTATGGAAGACTAATACCAACGAATCAAAGCTAAACGAATGGAATAAGAAAAGATATTTACACGAGTCGAATTCCGGTGAAATTTTGACGTCAAACTTCTGGAAACGAGAAGAATCACCGCCAAGTAAAAGGAAGCTTTCCGGGTCGGGCAACGTTTTCCAATGGATTGAGACGTTCATTTGCGCTAGAATTTGAAGCTCGAAGAACGAGGCTTGTGCTACTGGTGACGTAATCGACCGTGGTAGGATTTGGGCTATTTACCACCCCGGTAAACAACAACAACAACAACTACCTTACATTGGAAGTGGGGTTGGATGGCGGAAAAGTTAATGTAATGTTGTAATTTTTTGTTATTACTTGGAACCGTAGGCTTGATTTCAATGACTATTATATGTGACGAAGGAGGGGGAGGTTTTCTCAAGCAGTGGACAACATCGATCAGTGCAAATAAAATTTGGAATGATAGGTCATCAATGATAACAAATAATTCATTTTATTTTCCTGTCAACAGTATTAACTGTACATTGCTAATCCCCCTCTCACAAAGCTATCAGAAGCTGAAGCATCTGATCCCAACGGACGACAGTTCGGAGAAGGGAGGCCAATGGAAAATGCGAAATCGCGCACTACAATTTAAATTACTTTGGTAATCATTTCTGCAAATCAAAAATTCCTATCTTTCAACAAAACATCGGAAAAGTTTAGGGCATAATTTTTCATACGAATAGAAAGATCACACAAAAAGCCGTGAGAAACTACGCCTTAATCCAAGCCGAACACGAACAAGTAAATGCAGTCTCGTCGACACTAACGCTAACCCTAATCCTGACCCTAACCCTTCTCGTTCGATCAGTAAACATAACTGAAAATTTCCTCCTAATCTCCAGAAAATACTATTCTTCGCATTATATTACTATTATTAGTGTTAAAAGGCTACAGTCTGGTTAGTTAAATCGCAAAGGCCTATTTTTTTTAAAAACATTCAATTTTCTTGTCATCTTGATAACATCACCTCCCTATATAGTACTTTTTTTTAATTTTCGCAATCGAACGAATCGTAGTCTAACAAGTTACTTGTGTCGCCATTTGCCCTAACCTAGTGACTGACCACTTAAAAAAATCTCAATTTGATTGGATGTTCACAATGGCGCTTTTTCCTTCGTAAGAGACGAACATTGCGTCCATGACGCATCAAGAAAACCGCGAGAAAAAAATGGCCGCGTTCGCGCGGCCACTTTTTTCTCGCGGCTTTCTTTCGTGTCGCACACGACGAACTAAGCGAAAGAGGGACTAATCGTAGTCTACTGAGACGTAAAATGCGACTGTTTTGTGTCTTCCAGACGTATCAAATTTTTAAGTTTGTCTGACGTGTGATTTGTCTTATTTTCAGTGTTTATCTCATCGCATAATATATCTAAAACCAAATATTAGTATGAGACGTATTTGTCTCCTAGTCGATTTTAGTACTGTGTTGTAAATTGTAAGCTTTTTTAATGGAAGTATTCTGTAATTGTAATGTAATATATGCAGTTTAATTAAAAAAAGAAGTATTCGTCTGCCTAGGTAAACAAGGCCAGTTAATAGGTCAGCCCAGGGTTATACTAAGACCGCCTGCAAGCGTTTCTTTTCATTCGACGCTCCGCTCACTCACTTTCAGCCGACTGAAATCAAGAGATCGCAGTTAAATTATCATGACCCACTGATCGACTATCAGGGTTCCCAGGACCCCGTCCCTCCCAGCCCCAAGTGAAGGAAAGGGCCCAACCAGGTAAACACGAAACATGATTGACTGAACGGAAGCTGTCTATCGATCTATAAACGGAACCGGGAGTGTTTTCGCGAAATTTCTCACGTAAAATAATTTTCTCTTCGATAGATCGGTCAGTTGGGTATGATAAAAGAATTCGCCGGTTCGCTCTCGGTTTCTATCGACTCACTCGTACCTTCGCCCCAAGCCAATCACCAGGTACTAGAGACATCGAGCTTGCAGTCAAATTACTTGATAATGATTAATTTCCTCAAATCTAGGAGACTAGACGGGACAAATAGTACTTGATTTCTTAGACAAATTTCGCTGAGAATGAAATTCTTACATGTATAAATAACTATACATTCTCCAGGCTATGCCTAATCACACGGTAAGTAAGGGTTTATAGTTGTTTGCTGATTCGCGCTAAGAGCGGGTAAAGTAAACCTGCACCTTAGTTTGATTACTTCTTTAAAATCTTCCCCACCAGTTCAAACTGAATTGTCTTTCGCTCTAATTCTATCATTCATCCGCCATCATCGAGTGTAATAAACACGATAATATAATGTCTTTGATCTAAAGAGTGAATATGAGTTGTCAAACTTGAGTAGATACACACCACGGCCAGGATACATGTGGCTACCAACAATCACTTCCTCGTTACAAGGCCTCCGAACCACTGGGAGAACCTCGTCTATTCTTGGCTTGGGGGGACTGGACTCGTTTTCAGTCGCTTTATCGTCTTCTGCGAACTCGTCGTCGTCCGATTCGTTGACGGCGACCGTGATATTCTTGGTTTGCGGTTGCGACCATTCAAAGGAGACTCCAAAGCCAAGGTCGTAGTACTCAGTGGCAAACTCCCAGAACAAACACGTTCCTAGTTGGGGAGGGAGGGTCAAAGAGAAATAGATAAGCAGAATTCAAGGACTTACCTTCACGTGCAAGCTGACTTAAATAAAAATAAATAAATCAAGTGCATTTAGCACTGCTGTGCTAATCGGGGACACTAAATAATTAAGCAAATGTTGCAAATAGAACATCAATGACTAAGAATCCCAACTGGTGAGAGGCTGACCAGCTGGTTATTTGCACAACGTAGTGGAGGAGTTGAACTCGCGACTACCGAGAACAAATCCAGATAGGGGCCGGGAGGAGGATTTGGAACAGGGACCTCCAGGCCCTAAACCACTTGAACACGTCGCCTCCCCTTGAGTTTATAGTACATTAACTTTGTAACAATAAATTGTAGCTGCCATGGACGTTAGTAGAAATGGTAGCCATTTTGGACGGCTATATGATGTTTTTAATAGGATTCAACTTCAAATAATGGCGTAGGAACGGGTGATTAGAAGAATTATGGGGGAAAACAAAACAAAACAAAACAAAACAAAAAAACACTCGCGAAAGAAAAAATCGCGGCAACAAATTTCAT